TGCCAGTCAGAATAGCCACGATCAAGAAAACAAATAACAGCTCACACTGAAGAGGATATGGAGCAAGAGAAACACTCATCAATTGCTGGTGTGAGTGGAAACTTGTACAGTCACTGTAGGAATCAGTGTGATGGTTCCTCGGGAAGCTGGTAATAGATCTACCTCAACTTGGACTGTGATGGGAGAACCAAGCGAAAAGGGTTAGGGAAGAAGGGGTTTAGGAAAGGAATATAGGGAGGTAAAGCTAGAACTTAGGTCCATTTGAGATGTTTTATGGGAACATAACACATTTGCTAAAGTATATACATATGTAAAGATGATCTAAACTGAATCTCCAAATAATAGACATTATGGAGTCCCAATAGGAAATCTCTCATCAGCAAATTAAGACTTCAATTCTAGGAATCAGTTACATCTAATTGAGTTGTTGGCCAAAGGTGCACCATAGGAACACCCTCCCCCAAGAACTTAGACTATTGCCAAGGCTGTTGGTTGCTCTCCGAAAACTGATAATAAGGCCCTATTGTTGAAGATTACACCTGGAAAATTCATCAAACATGGAGAGGTTTTTCTGGTGTCTATTTAGAGTGTTCACTCCTGCTGATTGGTGTTCATGGTACTGGAAAGTACCCTTCATACCACCAAAGGACAAAGGTAAACACCAACTCAGTTTATAGCTTCTCTCTATAACAGTGATCCACCTGCAGTGGATCTTGTGCAAAACTGGTACAAAGCTCATGGTGTAACCAGCCACTACTGAATTGAAGTAAGACCCAATCATGGAGTTGGAAATTGTCCATGTATTGCTCATGCGGCCAAAAATCTGCTACTAGATAGGTCAGGATCCTAGTAGAAAACCAAGTAGATAGTACTACTCTGCTAAAGGGATGTAGCAAAACATGACTCCTAAGTATTCTACTGCTGAGGACATTTACAGTCTCATCAAAACAGATACTTTGACTAATGTTCTGTGGAAACGAAAAAACATTGACTTTTTCCTTTCACTCCATGGTAAGAACAACCTAATTGATTTTTTAATGGTTTTATATTTTTTAATGAAGGGATGAACATGTTGCATATTTAACAAGAATAAAACAATGTTTTTTATTAATGCATATATCATATAATGATCAAATCAGATCAATATAATTTTTAATGCTCCATGATGATACTATAGCATCTTGCTTATTAATATCAACCAATTTTTGAATGAAGGAAAATTTAAATGAAATCAGGCAGAGTCATGTTATCAAATCTTAATAATAGGAAGCACATCTTTTCTCCCACATTCAAGTTTTTAACATTCATAGAATGTAACTAACTCTTGAACAAAATTAAAGCATATAGAAGTCTACATGTGACAGCATCTTCATGGAGCTTTAAAATAAGCATACTCATAACTTAGTCTTGAGGACTCTAAACACACATATAGGGTATAATTTACAGAAAGAGAAGCATTTTAACTATGAAATGCTGTGATTTTTGTATGATAACAATTATAGAACAGGTTAGATAGTTTCCAGTAGGTTCATTGGGCTATTCAGCATTTCTTTCTTCAACTTTTAGGACTTAGGAGTTGTTAAATATTAAACTAATAAGGTTTGCTGAAACCAGTTTCAGAGATTTCCACTACCTATATGGAACAATAAATAGATTTTGTATTACAACCACTGTAGGATTTGGGTTGCTAATGTTTTCTGGTTATTGTCCTAGAGTTATTCTCATAAATTGTCTATGTAATAAAATACATATATTTCTTTAAAACAGCTAAATTTAGTCTAATGTCAAAATCAGTTTATTATACCAAGTATGGTTTTGTCAAATTTTTGTTAGTGTGTTTAAAAGGCAATGACGTGCTGACTCCTGGCCATTAAATGTTACTAAATTTTAAGAAAATGAATCTTCAACACTGCTGCAAAAGTTTATATCTTTGAATCTGCCATTGGGAAGTGTCATCAAAATCCTGGGGCAAATCATGTTTACTAAGTGAAAAATCAATTTAAAACATAAAGATCTAAAAAATAGATTTTTGTTCATTTTACATATGTATTAAGATTTATGCCTAAATATATTGTGCTTCGTTCATAGTTCTTATATTGATAATAACACTCAAAAGTAAGAAGAAACCTGGTAAGTTAGTGCTTTTATTTTCTCAGCAATGCATAGTGAGGCCTAAAAAGCAATTAAGGGCTGGCAGAAAGCAACAACACAAAGAGATTATGGGAGTCGAATAGCAAGGACCCTGTGCTGTATGTTATCATGTTTGGGCCTTTGTTTTTCTTTTTTCCAGTAAGCTATGTCTGTGTTTTGTAATAGTGCCAGACGAATTTTATTACTCCGGCTCTGTAATATATCTTAAGATCAGGAATTATAATTCCATAGCACTGGTGATTTTGCTCAGAATTGTGTTGACTGGGGTCTTTTGTGGCTCCATATATATTTCAGGATTTTTTTCTTTTTCTCTATTTCTTTGAAAAATGACATGGGTCTTTAATTGGAATATAAATGAATCTTGAAATAGCTTTTGGTAAATTAGACATTTTAAAAATGTTAATTCTATGAATCCCTAAACACAGGCTTGTCTTTCCATTTAATATTGTCTTAAGAGAGTAAAGGGATAGATGAACTTTACTTTTAAGTGTAGATTTTCACAAATTTTTTTCAAGTACATTACAATGCATGAACAATACTAACAGAGAAACGTTTTAGATTTTGACATGTACTTTTGCTAGTAAAACTAAAGGCATTTTAATTTCAGTTATTATAATTTTAAATGACAATTGTTTGTTACAATAGGATTCTATAGTTAATAGTTTTTAAATCTATATTTAAGAGAACAGAATTGTTTTACAGTTCTCTATAGAATCACTAAGTCACAATATAATTAAAATGACACAAACAAAAAAGCTTGGTGTCAATGCGTATGTGTTCTGTTGCCCCCAAGTCTGTCTTGAGGTAGAATTTATAAAATGTAGGCACATGCACAGGCACATATTTCTATAGGATGCTTTCTTGTGTAACAACTGAATCTGGATACTGTCAATGGTTATTTACAATAGTAATTTTAAAAGGGAAACCTTCTTATGAATTTTTCTTAATTATTTAAATTATTATAATTGTATATCAGATTGAAATAAATTAAGTGGCAATTATTTCCTATTTTTATATATATTTGCAAAATTTCTTCTCAAAGATGATCCTATAGGTAAAAGCTTTAGAGTATCTAAATTTTTGGTTATGTTGACTCTGACCTTAATTTGAAAATCAATAAAATACAAATAAATACCATTTATTTAATATGTTGGATAATGTATATTTGGATATCATGTGTGATGCGGCTTATGCTTACCCTATGATGTAGCATTGGTAAACAATTATTTAATTCTTCCTCATTAAATAACTTTGTTTGAATAATAAATCAAAATAATATGCTCTTATCTCATTATGTTGTAGACAAACAGATAAAATATAGATGATGACAGACTGATTAATAATAGATATATAGGTCTTCTCTATCCTTATATTATTCTGAGTAGCTGACTCATAACATAGAGCAAATTTGATTACAACTGCAAAGGTTAAGTATTAGCAGAGGTAATATAATGCTGGGCTGCATTTAGTCTTTCTCTGAATAATCAGAAAACTCAGTAAGTATTCTGAATTTAAAATGAACTTGCATTGTTAATGATGCATGAAAATATCACCAGAAAGAAATTATATCGTTGATCTATCACTCAGCTTCTTTGTATAAAAAATTGGGCTAATCGAATGAGAGTATTGAAGACTGGCTGCTCTTGTGCTTTTACTTTGCCAGTCTTGCTTCAATGATAAGTAACCTAATGAGTAACTAATTTCGAGCCATGTGCATGGTCAGATAATTGCTAGGAGGCTAGACAGACACACTGTGGTAGATGCTTATGAAAGCAAACTGCTTTGCTTGGCTGGGAACAAAGGACTTTCTCTAATAACACAGAGGCCTACATGACTCACAGACTGCCTCCCTTCTTTCCTTTTCCTTTCTTTACTTTATTTTCCTTCATCTTTCTTCTCTTTTTATTTCTGTTTCAGTTTTTTTTTCTTTTCCCTTTCACCGGGTATTGCAGTACTTGATGTCAAATACAGGATCTGTCCACGACAGGCAAGCCATCAGCCTACCACTGAGGTGCATCTGGAACTCTTTCATTTATTTCTTTAGCCACATATCTCCCACATGTACTAAATATGCTGAAAAATATTGTCATCCAAATGTTTCATAATAGAGTTTAAAACCATACATCCTTTGTCTAAGCTGGTCACCAGTATCTTCAGTTACTCTTGAAATGTAATCCATGTGGTCTGAAGCTTTATAATTTACTTTTTTTCATATTTTGCAATTGATGGAAACCACTACAGAAAACCACAATCAATCATATTGTGGAGATCAACCCCAATATGACATTTTGCCAACTGAGAATTTTCTATAAAAAGAAGTGTCAATAATAATGAAATCTAAATCTCCCTGGCAACAAAATTTGTATGAAACTGGAGAAAGGATGAATAATATCATTTATAATAGAGTACATACCTGACAGAAAACTAAACATGACCATCACAGGACCTCATCTTAATAACTTAAAATGTTTTGGTTGAAGCATTAGTTCCTTAAAAGTATTTTAATAATAGTATATCCAAATCACTTTGACAGAAACATTTACTACTGAGAGCTTGTGTTTGTGGTATGTGTAAATTATCAGTGCAAATAAATTTTCTTAAACAACATTCTACTTCATACATTTTGGAAAAAAAAGGTTTATACAAATACAGAGATTGCATATGCTGCCTTTACCTTGAGGGAAAATCTTCTGTGCTTTCCAAGGTCTTTAATCATTCTATCACCCTCTTTTCAAATAAACCTGCTAAATTAACATAAATAACTTGGAGGGTAGAAGGGAGCTTTGACTACTTAAGATGCAATATGATCTTACAACTTTTTCAGTTTTAACTTTAGCTTCACTACTTACAAAATGAAGTTCTGGGATGATAATTCAATTCAGGAGCAGCAAATAAAACAACTACTGGATCTTATTGTTTCAATCTTCTAAAAAATATGTGTAACACTGTGAAAAACAGAAGCAATTTATTAACAGTTTAGATACATGACTCCTGACACTTTAACAATGACTTGTGGTTTTTATATCCAGTGAAAAGACAGATGTAATATTCTTAGTGTATCAAACACAATAGGATTCATATGAAAGAAGTTGTTTGCAGTAAGTTGTTTAGGTTCTTCTTAAACTTTTGTTCTGAAATAAAAGCAATAGATTCATAAGGTATTGAAAACACAAAGAGTTCCTATGTATTCTTCATGATGATATTTTCTTTAGCTTAATCAGTAAATCTTTCATTATTTAAAAACAGGCAAAACCAGAGAATAACTCATATACCTACATGCCATTTTGCCCAGTGTGTAGGTTCATGCAACATCACAAATTAATGTTGTAGAGCAGTGAAATCTCATGTGTGCTAATGCATTAAAGTAATAATCTGCTTTTCTCACACATCAACTTGCTAGATTGAATACCTTTCAACTAGGAATTTCAGAATAGATATATGTTATGAATATCACACACACACACACCCCTTAGGTTCCTGTGAACACAAAAATTAAGATTCCTGAGATGAAGTCATCCTAGATATAGAGCAGGACTAAATCTAATGACTGAACTTCTTTAAGATTTCTTCTTCCCTATTCAGAATGGCAGAGATCATCAAAACAAACAACAAACGCTGGATGCTGGTGAGTGAAAGAGATCCTTTATTCACTGTTGGTGCAATGACAAACTGGTGTAGCCACTCTTGAAATCAGCATGAAGAATCCCCCCAAATTCTACAATTAAACCAAGATATAACCGCTTAACATATGAAATGCAGAAGAAGGGAAAATAATAATAATGATGCCAGAAAAAATTTTAAGGAACCATACTATTAACTATCTTCCTAAAATATATGTGCCATGTGTAAATATACAAATATAGTTTAAATAAAATTTTCACATATGGACTGATAATGCTTTTCCCAAAGGCTATAGGCTATCTAGCAAAAACCACATCAGGTCGAAAATTACTCTTTTGAGTGATTTTTGATGATATGTATTTGTTATGATTTAATAAAGCCCCCAAAGATCAGAAAATCAAAGCAGCCAAGCCAGTAGCTCTTACCTCTACCTCAGACCTAAATGGGTGATCCTACCTCCGTGTATCCCCAGCGTGCAATGCCTTTCCTGTTTGGAAAGTAAATCTCACATGAGAACCTTTGCTTCTTCATCTTATATCCCCTAGTACTGGGATTAAAGGTGTGAGCTCTCTTATTCTTTTAGACTGACTCACTCTCATATAGCCTAGGGTGGCCTTGGCCTCACAGAGATCCATCTGCTTCTGTACACCGAGTCCTGAGATTGAAGGTGTGTACCACCATTACCTGACTTCTATGACTAGCTAGTATGCCTGGCTCTATGGCTGTGGCCAGCTTTGCATTTTGTCCTCCAGCGGCTTTATTAAATCATAAACAATATATCATCATTTTTTGGTCAGACAAGGACTTACAGTCCAAACAATGCATATGAGCTGAAACTTTCCTCCCCGAGGATTAGTATGTATGGTAACAAAAGATAACATACAAGTTTCCACAAGAAGGAAACAGTCAATAATCCTACCAATTTATAATGCCTATGAACTACAACAATGACCAGTATTGGAGAATAACTCTGTGTTCACTAGTGTCACATATAACTTGGTAGTAACCATCATATCTATAACTGGACTTAATGCCTGATTGGTAAAAGGAAAATCATGCTGGACACTGGAAACACAGCCAACTACCTAGGGCTAATGAAGTTATGACTCTTCGAGGAGACTCATCTCCCATTTCATTAAACTATCAAATTCCCTAACTGCATACTAATTATCTGTCCTTATGCCCACAGATAAGTACAGCTGCCATCTCTCATCAAGTAAACTTCACTTTGTAGAAAAGTGAGACCATTACCAAAAAAAAAAAAAAACCAACCAAACTCAGTGTGGAGTTGTGAATCCCTGATCTAAGTTATACATCTCCAATACAACTGCAGAGCCTAAGGCTTTGGGATCATTGTGAAAAAGGGAGCATAAAGATTTGTAGTTCCAGAAGAACAAATAGTTTGCTGTGAGATTGTGTCACCAAAGAATGTCAGAAGTGACACCCATAAAGTCTCAACAATATGGCTGTCTAAACATGCCCTGAAGGAGGACAACAGCAATTGGTATACTAATATGGATGAGGAAAAGCTCACAGGGTTTCAACCCTATACAAAAAGTACAGGCAACTAAAAAGCATTGAGTGAGAGTAGGTGAAATAGTCTTCCTTAGAGAAAGCACATCAGCTGATTATTCAATATTAAATATTGAATAATGAATAATAATCAAATAATTTTGGTCAGTTTCCACTTCATTAAACCATCATAATTCTTAACTACATATTAAATATTTGTATGTATATATGACCACTATATGACCACTATGAATGGAAAACATCAAGTTGGAGAAGGTACAAGTTGTAATTATGCATTATTAATGTGAAGAAGTCAGAGATACTACCTTTTGTTATAATCACTATTTTATTTTTATTCTGGTGTGTGGATGGTCACATCTCATTCTGGTCTTAATTGGCTAACTTTATTGATTTCTTGTAATCAATGTTACAACTCTGGTAATGTTATCAGAGTACTCTTTTTAGAAAAAAAATGACTATTCAGGCCTTCTGCAATTTTATAATTTCATTATTTCTGTTTTGTGGTTTCAAATGTACATTTTATGTTGAATTATGAATATTGAAAATGAATATTAATCAGGTAATATACCATAAGACTCTAGTAAGTGGAATAAAGTGGTAGACTAGATAGAAATTTTAGAACAGTAGTGATTTTTCTGAGATTTTTTTCATTGTGTATCTCAGACTGAGTGTGTGGGTATGGAGAAAGAGAAATGTCAGTGAGAGAAATGGTTGCTATGTTCTATTATGAGTCTAAATATGAGTCACCGTAACATAGTCAGTAACATAGACTTAGGTTTACTCAAATATCACATTCCAATGTATTAGCAGTTTTATAAGATTTTTATCATAACAGAGCAAAGCAAGCATAAACAAACGATTTTCAAGTGTGTTGGTGTGTACATGAGAAAAGAAGGTCACAGGAAGCAGAAGAGAACCCTGCTTTAGGCCTTAGGTGCTGTCTGGCAACATTCTTATGGGTGCATGACTAGGGTTATGTTAAGTTAATATGTCATACATATTAGAATTTTGTTAGACTCAGCTTTATCTGTTAACCACAGGATGTCAGCCCAACACATAGTAGGGCAAGGAATGGCTTTTAGGCTAAAGACCATCCAAGATAATTGTAATTAGATCCTGGGACTGGACACTACAACTTATCCACATCACTTATAGTGGATGGAAAGAATGCCCCCCTTGGGCTTATTTGACATTATTTTAAAAGATTAGGACATGTGGCCCTGTTAGAATAGGTGTGACTTTGTTGGAAGAACTGAGTCTCTTCACAGTAATAAAATCCAAGACACCATTGAAGCTTTAATCCATCATTTTTAGTCACAGCTTCTTTCCAGGAGTTATCATTTATAAGTCAAAGGCATCAATGACTACAGATTAGAAAAAAAGAATTTAGAGAAAATATTATTTTGTGATCATAGAATAAAGGAGAGGGCAGACTAGGAATATAAAAACCATTTAGATAGTATTCTCATTGGTTATTACCATCTTGACACAAACTTATGTTTATAGGAATCTCAGTTGAGCACTTGTCCTTTTAGGTTTGACCTGTAGTCAAGTCTGTGTTCCATTTTCTTGATTAGTTATTGATGTGGCTAATTCCAACTTATAGTGGAAGTGCCACCCTTAGCAGATGGTCCTTGACTGTATACAAAAGCAGGCTAATCAAGCTAGTAAGCAGCACTTCTCCATGGCTTCTGCTTAAGGTCCTTCCTCAAGGCTCCTGCTTGAGTTCCCTTCACAACGGCTGTAAACTATAATATAAAACAAGCTCTATTCTTTCTAATTTATTTAAACCATGCTTCCTGTTCGTCACACCAACAGGAAGCAAATCAGAGCAGGCAATGGTTACTCCAATGCCAGAAATCACCATAGAAAAAACTGATTCTAAAATATCTTGGAAATAGAGACTTCCAATTATCAAGCATCCATGTTATAGAATAGATTTGGAACATTCATTACAGTGTAGAGAGCCATAGGATGCTAGTGTCAGAGGCATACAGGTATCTTAGGCTAATATGCGAATTCTGTGTCCACACAGGACAGATTTTTGTCTTTTTGAACACTGGTAGCTTCAGAGGGTGGTGAGGGAAAACCAGGATTTCACAAGTGCTCAGCACTAACGAAACGACACCTTCTCTCAGAGTGCTATTAGCAGTAGTCTAGACAGGGGCTTGAGGCAGCTTTCTGTCCCATTCCTTGCTTCAATATGAAGAGCCCTCATCTTTCAGACTTAGGGGTAAATTAGGACACTGCAAACTATATTGCAGCTCATCCTTGACTTAGAGAAATTCCCGCCAACTCTTAAAGGAAGAGTCGGATCAGACTTACTACAGCACAATATTTGAATACTGTTGTTCACATTAAACTGAAAATGTGCTGAGCATAAATGTTTTTACCTTGATATAGTATGTCTAGTCTTTGATTTCCTCACATTTGGTTCATCTTCTTAGAATATGTTTTGCCATTGATTCTCTTTCAAAATGAGTTTCTTATGAATAAGTTGCATGATGTTATCCATTTGGATAATTTATGTTTCAGGATTGTAAATATTATTCACATGTAAGCTAATATGATAATGAAACAGTTAGCATTGTTATTTTTATTTACTGTGTGTTTTCTAGGTGATTTGTAATTTTCTTCTAGACTTTATGGTTTCCATTGTGTTCTGTTGAAGGAAATTGCTAAGACACACACTACTACATCAATGTAATTTTGGAGGACAAATCAATTTAAATTCAGCTCAATTATTAAATATAATTTATTAATATCTAGACTAAATTTTAAAACTAGTATT